TATATATATTTATAAACATACAACAAAGATAAGAATCATAACCCTAATCACAATAAACAGGCACATGTTAACTGTTATGTAATATATGAAACAGTATAGGTTTAACGCCCCTATCGACACTATTTGGATATTAATTTTGAGAGGTGGGACCTCCGTATTTAACGTCCATCTCCCGAAGGACCGAGCCAAATGGGGAATTCCTGTAGAGTGCCTTTCCCCAAGGACACAAGGCGGATGGGACTGAGGCTCCAACCCCCGAACCTCATCCTCGCGTTTACGGGTCCAGCGGCCTATTCACTTGACTACCGGCAAACGAGCACGTTGTGGTGTTGGATAGTGGGGATGACATAAAGAAAGGGGATGAAATGAAAGGGAAAAGAAAGTACTGATATTCATAATTGTGTTACTCGATTGTCCAGAAATGTGTTCTTTAAAAGATAAATCAGACGCACGCACGCACGCACGCGCACACTCACACACTCTCACACATACAGTACACACATACACACATACGCATACAGAGACAGACACACACACACACAAACACACACACACACAAACACAAATATATATAAATATATATATATATATACTTGATATAATCGATGTTGACATAATATAAAAGGAATACATCCATAATGCTGTTATTGTTAACGCTGTTTTTTTGGGTATCAAGTAAAGAACAAGCCAGTTTCTTTATCTTTTAATGTACACTTGCGCAAAAGTAAAAGAACACGTAGATTTATTTTTTCTAAAATATAGCGTATTCAGTCAAATTCGGCGTAGTTTCATTCTAATTACTGATGTTTTGGCAAGTATTTTACGACGCTCGCAACTGCAAAAGGTCATATTATGAGCACGCGGACACAATAAACATTTTCAGTTTTGTGGAAATTTTGAACTTTGTCCGGGTGGCAGCGGAAGCCTACTTTAGTCGATTTTAAGACCACCAAGGGATCTTTAAAGTACGCAACTTGCACACGGGACCTCCGAGATTGTCCACTTTTATTCGAGAAGGCTAGGTGGTAGATCTTACCTACCCAAAGATCAGGGTTGTTGCTGAAAGACAGGAGTAAGAAGGAGCCAAGCAGTAGCAGTAGAAAGGCGGAGAAAAGAATCAGGAGCCTAGAGGAGGGGACAAAGGGGAAAGGGGGGGGGGAGAACGTGGAGACGAAAGCAGACGACAGAACATTGTCAGAGAGCAGGAAAAGAGATGAAAGGAGAAAATGGTAGACGAGAAAATTTTCCGGAGTTGTCAAGTTTCAAACCAAGGAAGTATTGAAAGAGAGGTGAACTCCGTAACCTCTAGACCACGAGAACCTCGCTAATTGCTTAGGACACTTTCAATCTATCAAAGGTGGGAAGGGCGCTTTATTAGCTCAGTTGGTACCATGCACGTCTATGGAGCGGATGGCCCTGGTTCGAATTCCAGACTGTGTGTTTTTGAAATAGGGTCTCTTTGTGGAGTTTTCAAAGCTCCCAACCTATTTGGCTCGGTCATAACTAAGACGGACGTTCAATTCAGAGATCCCGTCCGCTAAAATAACCTAATAGTGTTGATTGGTTACTTTTACTAAAAATGGAACGTTGCGTCCTTATAAAACCCGAATTCTTGTCACTGTTCGTTTCTGTGATGTACAATTCAAGCAGGTGGTTGAAAGGCGCCACTTGTTGGTCCTACTTCTTTTCTTTCCATGTGGTGTTTTTGTCTATCTGTCTTGCTTCTCCCCAGCACTTTTACGACCGTTATTGTGGCGATAAGCTTCTCTTAACTCAAACTCACACTCAGCTGTAGTTAGTGTGAAGCCATGACGCTTTTTTAATATCCAGATGCCCCTTAGTTGGTCCTTAAATAAGGCTCCCATTGATAATCGCAAACGATTATGAAAAAATATGATATCATCACACGCAGGTATAATATGTCTACTTGTCATTCTATGATAACAAACACATGCACTTGCTGGCACGTC